TACCCATAGCCTCCCATGGACTCTCCTGGTCCTTCCCTGATGCATTGAAATGAGAGAGTGGTCATTGGCGAGATAAAAGTAACTGCCTGGCATACCAACTATTGCAACCTCATTAGTACTTTGTTGTAATCTAACAAGCTGACACATCCACAAGGCATCTATATACCCAGAGACACACTAAAGCTGTGCAAGAGCCTTCAATGCCAGTCTCTTCATCAGGACAATGGCTGTTAGATGTTCTCTGTGCCATAGCCTTCATAACCCCACATCCATATACTGGCACAGATGGCCCTGATGAAACAAGGCTTTCTAGAGACTTTCTAAGCTGACTCAGTATGAGGTCAAATATTTTATTAAGCCCTGTTCTTTCAGATGTTTAAAGAGGAAAAAAAAAAAAACCCTTGTGTTTTCATTTGCAGCATGACAATTTTGAAGCACTATTTTAACAGTGTTCTAATCAATTACAAAATGAAAGTTACCCTTCCTGTGACTTCATGAAAAGCAAGAAAAATCTTGGGAGTTTTAAGAATCGCAGGTAAAAAAAGGAGATTTCATTCCTTAAGTTGTGCATCAAACTTTTCTTCTTGTCCAAATTAAACGGAACAGATGTGGAAAACAAAATGAGTCAGGGTCTCCCCATATAATTCTAAACGAACTTTCAGGTTCTGCTTCCTACGGCCGATTTTAGCCTCGGCTGCCTTATTGCCTAAAATCTGCAACTCGATACTAAAAGCTTGTCAAAATTAAGTGCATGCTTTATAAGTTTACATTTTTACAGTCTAACTGTTTTTCTTTGATATTTGACAGGGACACAGGTTCCCATGTCATCTGGCCTTGAAGTACTTTTAGAACTTTCTCCTAGACCAATCTGAGGGAGCTCAAGGTTGCGGTGAGTTATGGGGTCTTTAAGTTGCCTGCCCAGCAGCCGGCCCTTGTGCCCACACTTGAGGGCTAACACCTGCTGGCTGGACAGAGCAATTAATTTTTTTAAAAATGTGGTAAGCCGCCAAAAATCAAAGCTAAAGGATAAAAATATAATTTTACCTCTTGAGCTTCCAGGGGTGGCCTTTGATCTCTTCCAATGCTTGTGTGGCAGGAGGCATGGATCTTAAATTTTCCTGCAAAAGAAGCACCTCTGAAAGACACCAATCACAAAACACTGACTGTCTCTGTCTTCCGTCCTATCACTCTTGCATAATTATGCTGACACCTAACCGAGATGGTCCCTCACAGCAAAAAGACAAATCTAACAAATGTCCCCTTCTTTAAGAAATTATCATTGAAAGCTCTTAAATTATACCACAGTCCATCCCTTGTAAGATCAAATGTTATTTCCCTAAGAGGCGATAGTTGGGCTTTCCAGTTGATGATTATAATGTGGCATTTGTTTCAGAATGTCTGTACATTAAATAGATAACTGTGAACTTCAAAGAGCTAAATACCAATCATGGGCTGGGGCACGGCCACACATACAGCCTCCCTCCTTCTCCAAACTCTTTGGTAGCCAAGACAAGGTCACTGGTCAGGGTAATTTGCAGGAAAAGTCAATTTCTCAAGTACCGAAGCAGGTGTTGTGGCACTCTATGAATCTAAATTGAGGAAGTTGAAAAAAGCAAAGGTCATGATCCACAGGAAGAAAGGAGGAAAGAAAATCTCTTTGACTGTATTTTTAACTCCTTTCAAACAAGATGCACTCACCAACCAAGACAGTTAACGCTAAAAATAAATAAATGAAAATCAGGGTAGCTCATTCCAATCAGCAACTTATCTGATTTCTTTCACTAAAAGCAGAGGATTTCATGTTTGCTTGAACTCACAAGGAAATAAGCTCAATTTATAAGAGCTAAAGAACAATTCTTCTGCTTGTGAGTGTTTGGGGAGCAAAATCAAACCAAGATATCAGAACTTTGTCTTTAAATCAAATAATATATATTATATGATACATACTACTTAGCATAGGGTATATAGTATATAGAATAATATATGATACACATATAGTATATAATTCTGGATTTTTATTTTAAATCCACACATTCCCCATTTCCCCAAAACTAGGGATAGAGAACACAGTCAAAATGGAAAATCCTTTCAAGAAGGGAAAAGAAACATGAAGCTTACACTTCATAATGTTGTTGATATGGCAAGGAGAGCATGGGATGTGGAATTAGAAGATTTGAACATAAATTCTAGTTAATCACTAATTAGCTGTGTAATTAGAACAAACCATTTAACTTCTTTAAGTCTTCATTTTCTCATCTGCAAAATAGGAGGTTGTAAGGATTAGATAAACGAATATATGTGGAAGCATTTGGCAAGTTAGAAATATTTCATGATCACTGTTCACCCTTATGGCATATTTTCCTGAAGGGTAAAATGCACACACCGCTGGTATGCCTAAGGTTGGGGCAGGCACTGAAGGTTTAAATAAAAAAAAAATGAATCAATGTGAAAAAAACAGTTAAACAAATAATAATATAGGTGGAAAATTACTGAAAGTCGTAGGCAAAAAATTGACATTTGGGTGACTTCTCCAGATTTAAATTCTTCTTGGGAGGAAGGGATAAGAGATGGAATCACCAAACTCCCTAAGAATATCTCCAATACAAAAAATATTATTTTAAAATGTAGATAAATGAGTCACCTTTTAAACACCCAACCTAAAAAGAAAAATATATATATGATTTGCTTGCCTGTCAACTTCTATTAAAAAAAAAAAAAATCTCATGAAAACAATACTGTCCACATAATCCAAAACTGAGTTTTAGCTTGTAGCTCAATATTTTCAAGCAATATTACATGCGATAAAATTGCATTTAATTGCATTTCCAGAATGATCTGAATGTTTCCCTTGGAATTTATGTCCTCTGTCTAACAAGGGAATCTCATATAGTGTTTTTGTTAAGAGTGTGATAGCCCTAAGTTACCATAAATGCACACTAACCTCCTCATTTTATAGATACGGAAACAGAACTGGAGAAGGACAGCCATTTGGTGACTCTCCATATGTTGCAGATCTGGAACTAGAACTGGCTTTGGGTCCATAGAATAAGTCCAGGGGCCTTCCTCCTTCATAAATGTCAAGCACTTAACGTCCAAGCAAAGTCAGGAGAAACATTTGACCTTTAAATTCTCTCTATTCATTTTTCCTTTTTAAATTTACTGGTACTAGTGAAAATCCTATGTCAAACATAGAAGGCAACCTTAAAAAGCATGAAGCACTCAATACGTTAAGAATGGAAATATGTTACCTTCTTTCAGTTTCCTATTCTTATTGGTTCTTAAATTTTATGGTTCTTCTATATTCTTAGTTTAGTTCTGAAGTTACTTTCCCTGTTTCTGTTATCTCCGCTTGAGTATAAAATATGCTTTCACAAAGATGCTTCTTAATTTTAACCAGTGTGTTTGTGTACCTTTCACATTTATAGGAATATTTTTCTTTTTTCTTTTTTTTTTTTTTGAGACAGAGTTTTGCTCTTGTTGCCCAGGCTGGAGTGCAGTAGTATGATCTAGGCTCACTGCAACCTCTGCCTCCCGGGTTCAAGCGATTCTCCTGCCTCAGCCTCCCAAGTAGCTGGCATTACAGGTGTCTGCCACCACACCTGGCTAATTGATTTTGTATTTTTAGTAGAGACAGGGTTTCGCCATATTGGCCAGGCTGGTCTCGAACTCCTGACCTCAGGTGTTCTGCCTGCTTCAGCCTCCCAAAGTGCTGGGCATGAGCCAATGTACCCAGCTTATTTGCAATAAATTTAATACTTTACGTCATCTTCAAAATGCTTTGCTCTGCTCTATATTTTGGGAATTCTGTAAGCCAGAAGTTCTTGTTCCCATACAAATAGTTCAAATATTTTAAATTAATTAGTTACATAAATTGCTCAGATGGAAGGAATACTCATGTTTAAAATTGTATGCCAGACATGTTAACACAACTTCTAGTGACTCAATATAAGTCACACGATCATGTCCCAAAGTGTGTTTTATGCTAAAATCGCAAACTGAGTGCTTGTGCTTTGTGGAGTTGGGTTTCATAGCCATGGAAAGTTAACCATAGACCCTCACCTAAGTGCCCTGGAGAAATTTTCCCAGTATCAGTCTTGAGAGCAAACTTGATTTCCTCTTCTGGCTAATGGGTCACTTGAGATCTTTCCACAGCTTCATGATGTGAATTACATGAGATAAAGAAAGCATTAGGACAGTGGCTGGCTCTTTAAGTGCCCAGTCATCTATAGACATAATTGATTTTATTAGCTGAATGAACTAACAGTCAAATAAGCGTTGTTTTGCATGAAACAGGATAAAATTTATTTTCAATTTGATTTAAAGTAATTAGCACATTCATTTTCCACAGCTTTTCTAATCAAGCTAAATGTTAGGTCTCCTCAAGGAAGAATAAATAAGTCCAATATTATCTTAAAATTTTAAAAAGAAAACACATGAAAGTAAGAATGGAGAACAGGGGTAGGAGCTATATTATTTGTATACTGCCATGGAACTTTACTTACAATGCAATAGAACAACACACCCATATACCTTCTGACTGTCAAATCATATTTCTAATCTTTGTCCAAGGTCTTAGTATAGAAACGTTTACTGGAGAAATGAAATAAAATTAGAAGGCTCCTTCTTTCCTTCTCTTTCTTTCTCTCTCTCTCCCTCCCTTTCCCTCTCCGTCCCTTTCTCTTCTTTCTCTTTCTTTTTCTCTCTTTCTTTCTTTCTTTCTTTCTTTCTTTCTTTCTTTCTTTCTTTCTTTCTTTCTTTCTTT